TGAGTCATATCTTGAGATTAGGATGTTAGAAGAAGTCGCACTAATATTTTAAATAGTGTTGGCATGGGTCTACTTTAAAGAAAAATGTTAATAGTTCTTATGTTGGGTTCTATGTGTTGGTATAAATCATTGTCATTGGTGTGATGCTTGAGTAATTTTTTATTGAAATGTGTTTTTTGTCGTTGTGCTTAATTTTAAAAGTTGCTCAAGGACAAGCAAGAGTATAAGTGTGGGGTATTGATAAACGGCTTAAAATGCATATTTTTCTGTGTACTTTCATCTCATAACTTGTGTGGTTACGGTAGGTTACATGAGTTTTTTAGTGAATTATGATCATTACGTGCATTCTTATGTGTAGGAGCAAGATGGACGAAAGGTGTGCAAAAGAAGTTGATTCGGGACTAAAAGACAAAAGAAGAACTTCGCTTGTTCCCTTTCGCGTGCACACAAGAGTGTGAACGAGCTAGCTGAGAGGAGGTTGAAAAAAAAATAGCGGATTATAGCAAAAAAGGCATAGAAGTGCATGAGAGACCTAGAAGGAAAAGAAAAAGAAAAGAACTTTGCTCGTTCACTCTCACGTGCGCACGAGAGAGTGAACGAGCTAACCTAAAAAGACTATTCCGAAGTAGGCTTGTATTATTTCGCCCCATGCAAATCCTATCACATATAAATATTCCTTAAACTCACTTTAGGAGGGGAGATTCGACCTAAGGAGGAGAATTCGACCGAAGTAGGCAAGAACACACAAGAAGCAAGGGGGAGAATTCTTCTACGAGTTTTTCACTTTCTTCTTCCTATTTTCATTATTGGTTACAAATTTTAGTATTGTAGTTTTACATACGTTTATGAGTAGATAATTTTGTTACTAGGGTTTTGATGGAACCTTTTGTAGGATAAATTCTTGATATGTTTTGATATAATTAAGTCTTTGAATTTTTTTTATTTGTTCAACTACGTTCTTATTTTAGTTAATTGAAGAGCTCTCAATTAAGGATGCCTATTTATTATGTATTACTTGGAAAAGAGTACATATTAGGTGGTTGTTGAAGAACGTCATTCCTAATATATATGAGAGATCAATATGGCGAGTTTAAAAGCCGGGTTAGAGATAACGAAACTTTGACGTGATCATAGTGAGCGGTGAAAAAGGGCGAGCTAGCGTAGTTCGAGAGAATATGACTAATACATTATTGTAGTTGTCCAAGAGAAAATTATGATAAGTCGAGTGCTCACGATCGGTAGAGAATAATTAGGCAAAATTATAGAATAGGTAGCGGGATGGATTCTGACAATTGGGGAAATCATAACTCTAGACCTCCTTAATCTTGTCTCCAACCCTTAGTATCTTTAGTTGTTAATTCACTCCTTTAATATGTTAGTTAATTAGTTAGATATAAGAATCTTTATATTTATAACTTAGGAATTGTTCGAGCATGTCTTCAGTGATACTTAACAGTTGTAGCTAAATCTTAGATCTTTCTGGGATTCTACATCAGACTCTTAGACCGAATTATATTTTGTCACGACCCAAAATTCTCATCTTCGGAACCGTGATGGCGCCTAACATTTCACTTGCAGGCAAGCCAACGTTAGATGCATTTTAAGTTATTTTTTAAACAAACCAAATTTAAATGATGCCAATTACTAAAACAAATGAGATGGAACCGAAATAAAGTGCGGAAAAACAATACAACAGAATTATATAAATATAACCCCGAATATGGTATCACAGGTGCACGAGCTTCTAGAATAGTACAAATAAAGGTCTGAATAAAAGTAAAGCTATCTGAAGGAAAATGCACAGCTAAGATAAAGAATAAGGGGACTTTAGGGAGGTTGCGGACGCCGAGCAGCTGAACCTCAAGTCTCCGTACTGATAGCCAACCCGAGCAATCTACGGACCGATGTTGGGACCAACTCCAAAATCTGCACAAGAAGTGCAGAGTGTAGTATGAATACAACCGATTCCATGTACTCTGTAAGTGCCAAGCCTAACCTCGACGAAGTACTGAGGAGGCTAAGGTGGGTCACTTACAATATAACCTGTACACAGTATGAAATAATGATAGGAAAGAAAAATATGGAAACGAATTAAAGCAGTTAACACATGAAAGTAACTCAATCCCCGAAGAAAAACCAGTAAATGCGTGAAATACCAATTCATAGAGTCTCGTATGAAAGTATCAAAGCCGACACAATACAATCAGGAATGTAAATCACATAAACTGTTGCGGTGCGCAACCCGATCCCACCGTACAACACAATTCTCCCTTATTCCATCATATAAACATCAATAATAATAAGTAAATATATGTTGTCGCGCACAACTCGATCCCATCATATAATCAAAATCAATATCATAATTCACCCTTATTTCACCATATCAATCCACTCTTATTTCACCTGTTGCGGCGCGCAACCCGATCCCACCGTATCAATATAAATTTACCCTTATTTTGCCATATCAATTCACCCTTATTTTACCTGTTGCGGTACACAACCCGATTCCACCATACAATATTAATAAATCAATAAGTGTAATCAATTTAACAACTCGAATCACAAGAATCTTTACGATTGACGAATATGAAGCAGAACCAGAAAGGAAATCTCGTCTCAAATTAAGAATTCACTATGATTAATATTAAACAGTAAGACAAGTCAAATAAATGACAAGTAAATGGTACAATAAGTCATTTAAGGCAAGTAGCAGTAAATCATGGAAGCATGGGATAATCTAACTTTTTTAACAGGAGAATAATAAATGAGAAGTAGCAAATAAAGACATGGGAAGCATTTAAAGCATATAACAGTTAAGACTTGGAATGAAATAATTAATGAAATGCGGAAAAATAGAGAAATAAGTATTTTGGCGGCGTATATACACTCGTCACCTCGCATATACACCGCAACACATGAATTTCACATAGCACATAGCTTAAGGGTTCCTAATTCCCTCAAATTAAGGTTAAACCAAAACTTACCTCACTCCGCAATCAAGTCAGAGCTCTATTAAGGCCTTTCCTCTAGAATCTGCCTCCAAACCAATTGAATCTAACCAAAATCGACTCGATAACATCAAATAATGATAGGGAAATCAATTACAATATATAAAGTTAAGATTTTTACACTTTTTTCAAAAAATCAAAAAAGGTCAACCCCACGCCCACTTGGTCAAAATCCGAGATTCGGACCAAAATCCATTTATCCATTCACCCCCGAGCCTGATTATGTAATTAGTTTTAAAATTTGACCCCAAATTGAGGTCTAAATCCCGAATTTGCAAAAATACCCAATTCTTTCCAAATTCCTAATTTTTTATCATGGAGGAACAAAAATTAAGGCTAGAAATAATGGGTGATGATGGAAATGGAAGAAAATAAGTGAAAGTACACTAACCTATGAAAGGGTGATGAAATTTCTCCTCCAAATCACCTCTAGACCGAGCTTTAATGGAAAGATGGTGAAAATGGGTGAAATCCCGTATTTGAAATGTTTTATGGTCTGGGCGTTAGGCCTTCTTCGCGTTCGCGAAGGGCCTGCCACTTCGCGATACACAACGACCCAAAAGGCCTATGTGTTCGCGAATTCATTCACGCATTCGCGAAGGCTGCTCCCCCAGGTCTTCGCGTTCGCGAGCCAATGCTCGCGTTCGCATAGAGTAAAACACTGGTCCCCCTTCCCAGGTCTTCAAGCTTAAGTTCGCGATGAAAAAAACTCCCCTTGCCCAGATTACTCCTCTGGATCGCGAAGAAGAAAACAACAGATCACAGCAGAAGTTCAAAAATTAGAAATTTCTAAGTTTAAAACACCCGTAGCCTATCCGAAACTCACCCAAGCTCTCGGGGCTCCCAACCAAACATGCATACAAGTCCGAAAATATCATACGAACTTACTCGCGTGATCAAAATACCCAAATAACACCTAGAACTACGAATTGGACTCCAAAATTAATGAAATTTTCAATGAAACTTAAGAACTTTCATTTTAACAATCGGACGTCCGAATTACGCCAAATCAATTCCGTTTTGCACCAAATTTTACGGACAAGTCATAAACATAGTAATGAACTTATACCAAGTTTCGAAACCAAAATCCGAACCCGGTAGCAACAAGGTCAAACTTCGATTAAATTTGGAATTTCTTTAAACCTTTAAACTTCTAATTTTCAACAAATTGTGATAAATCAAGCTAGGGACTTCCGAATTCGATTCCGGGCATACGCCTAACTCCCAAATCACGATACGGGCCCACCGAGACCGTAAAAATACGAATCCGGATCTGTTTTCTCAAAATGTTGACCGAAATCAACTCAAATGAGTTTTAAAGCACGATTTCACATTTAAATCAATTTTTCACATAAAAACCTTTCGGAAGAAGATACATACTGTGCACGCAAATCGAGGAAGGTTAAACGGAACTATTTGAGGTTTCGAACATAGAATTATGGATTAAAACTATAAATGACCTATTACGTCATCACACATTTGCAGCGACTGCTTATCCTTTTTAGGACTAAAGTTGCGCGTGATCATATATCAAAATAAACAAATCAACATATCCAAAAGAAATACTAGTAAAAATATATGTTAAAAAGAAAACATCGAATGTAACTTAGTAAAAGAGTGCACTTATATATGAACCAACAAAGAGATGAAGTATTACACAAACAGGTGAGTCGAGATGGATTATACATCCAACTCAAGATTACTTCTCAATTTATTTGTTTATATTTTCCTAGTATAAATTTATTTGTCAAGATTGACATCTTACGAAAAAATAACAACTAAAAACTAGAAAAGGAAAAGATAATTCCAAAGGGTTGTCTTATCTTTTGTTTCTTCGATATATTTGCTGCAGGGATATGACGTGGGAGCAAACTTAGTGAATTGTCCGCCACGTTTCGGAACAAGCGCAACGTGTTAAAAGCTCATAAGCTGTGCAAAGGACTCTTTGGTTGTCACTTGCCCTCTTAACATTTTTATCTTTGCCGATGGACTTAAAACTCAGAAAAAAAAGTATTGTTCTCTGTTAAGACCCTCTCTTAATTTGTTGTGACTTGTAAAATATTAGGAAGAAGGAACATCCATGGCCATTAGTGGTTTTAAGCTTCTGTACTTTTACAGTACATCGCATGTATCTCGATTGAAACAACGCCTCGTCCCCTTTGTTCCCATATCTGTACTACGGGTATATCTCTTTCTCCTTATTTCTTTATTTATATTATTGCTTTCCAACAGAATATTTAAAAATCCAATTAATTTGGAAATGTCATGTAGTCAGTCAGTGTAAATTCCAGAGATTCTAACAAGAGGATTAAAAAATAATCGAAAAATATTTAAGGAAATATAATACTTAGAATATGACCTCATACAGAAATGTAGGATAAGACAGCGTACGATAGACCCTGTGATCCGACTCTTTTTCGAACCCTGCGTATAACGAGAGCTTAATGTACATGGTTGTTCTTTTATAATACTTAGAATACGAACTTACGACTAGACCAATACCGTTATGTCACCTTTGCACTTAATTAGGACCATGTAGCTCGGCTCCTCTAGTCAATTGATACTAATCGACGATAATTTTCATCTTTCTCTCCCCATGTCTCAATTTATGTGTTCGTATTTTCCTTTTAGTCTAGCCCAAATATTATTGTACTTTTTGATTTTTAAAAATTTTACTTTAATAAATTTCATAATTTACCCTTAATGGAATGATGTATTACAGCCGCACAATATTTAACATAATATCTATGGTTTGCTTTAGATTAAAGTTTTAAAAGTTTATCTTTTTGTTTTTTTAAATAATTGAGACGTAAATTGAGACGGATGTATTATATTGCTGCGAATGAGGCTAGCTGTTGCAGTTTTTTTTTTTTTAATCCTTTTACAAGCTTAGTTCCGTGACAACGTAACATGCTTAATTTACTTTGATGGGGCAGAGGTATACACAATCAATCAAGGAAAATTACGAACATCATGCAGAAGAAAAAGCGCCTACAACAGCAGAGGAATTCATGAGAGTGGCAGATGAGATGGCTGAAGATAAAGAACATTTAAAAAGAGTAGCAGAAGAGAAAGATAGGCAGGGTTTTGCCAGCCAAACAGTAGACAAGACAATGGAAGCGGCGGCTACAATGGGTGACACTAATTTTGAATCTGTAAAAGAAAATTTAAAAGAGCCTCCTGGCAAAGGGAACTTCCATAAGACGGGTGATGACTCTGATGACCTCCTTAAAAATACCGACAAAAGCAAATGATCATTACCTTAATCTCATGTGAGGTTCATGAGATTAAAGTTGTAATTAGCTTAGTGATGCAACTTTTTCTTGGTATGTGTTCAAAAGTCATTAAGGGTCGTTTGGTAGGAAAATAATGCGCTTTGTGTATTAATAATACCTTATCAATTTGAACCGATGAATTAGTTATGCAAGCACTAGTCATATATCATATTTGGTATTATCCTATGCATAATTAATGCATACAAAATCATGATATTAATAATGTAATGCGTTAAAATATGTTATTATATCGATCGATGCGTGATTAATAATGTAATGCGTGATTAATAATGTAATGCGTTAAAATATGTTATTATATCGATGCGTGACGTAAAGTTTGATATTGAAATTGCTTGTGTTATTTATACTAGTTCGGTGGTTTAAGGTCTTGAGAAGCTTCATATTATGTATTATGACTTATGGTGTATGGTCGGTTTCAATTTACGGCCGATTTGAGATTGATTTGGAAAAATGATTCTTGTTTTAAAAGTTTAAGTGGTAAGAGTTGACCAAAGTTTGACTTTTGTGTAGATGACTCCGAAATTGTGTTTTGATGATTCCAATAGCTTCGTATCGTATGGTGTTTTTAGACATAAATGTATGTCCGGATTTGAATTTGGAGGTTTTGTAGGTTGATTTGATGCTTTTGGAGAAAGTTGAAAAGGTGAAGATTTGGAATGTTGAGATGTTTGATCGGGATTTGACTTTGTTGATATTAGGTTCATATTGTGATCTCTAGAGTTGTTGTAGCTCCGTCGTGTCATTTGAGACCTGCATGCAAAATTTGAGGTCATTCCGAGTTGCATTGATCTGATTCGCGCGTGAGTTTTGGAAGTTAGTGCATTAGTTCATTAGGCTTGAATTGAGGTGCGATTCGTAGTTTTGATATTATTTGGTGTGATTTGAGGCCTCGAGTAAGTCCGCATTATTGTGACAATCCGACCAGTCGTCTCATGAGTTAGCGCTCCGTTTCCCCCATTTCTGTTTCTTATTGCTTTGTCTATTGGTTCTATATATGATTGGGTTGGTTGGCTCGGGTTCGGAAAGGATTTAGTAAGGTTTGAGACACTTAGTCTCTTTTGAGGAAGCTTAAGTTGAAAAAGTCAATCGGATGTTGACTTATTTGTTAGAGGGCTCGGATGTGAGTTCCGATAGTTTGGATAGATTCGGGAGGTGGTTTGGGATTTAGGAGCGTGATCTGAATGTATTTTGGAGGCATGGAGTAGATTTAGGCTTGAATTGGCGAAAAGATATAGGGGTCAGAATGGAATTTCGAGAGTTGCAATAGTTCCATTGTGTCATTTGGGATGTGTGTGCAAAAATTTCAAGTCATTCGGACGTGGTTTGGTTGAGTTTTTGATCAAAAGCGTAATTCGGAAGAATTTGAAAACTTAAGCTTGAATCCGATGTGTTTTGGTTGATTCGATGTTATTTGAGGTGTCTTGAAGATTGGTATAAGTTTGAATAAGGTTATGTGATATGTTTGTACTTTTGGTTGAGGTCCCGAGGGCCTCAGGGTGATTTCGGATGGTTGACGAAGAAGTTTGGAATTCTAGTGAGCTGCAGATTTTCTGCTTCTGGATTTCCGCACCTGCGGATTGGGGACCGCAGGTGCGATGCCGCAGATGCGAGGTAGAAGGTCGCAGAAGCGGAAGAAGGTGAGGTAGGCTATGACCGCAGAAACGGTTGGGTAACCGCACCTACGATGGCGCATGTGCGGAGATAGCATCGCAGATGCAGAAAGTTGAGACTAAGTGAAAAATCGCAGAAGCGGCTCTTGGACCGCAAAAGCGGTACCGCAGATGTGGTGGATTGACCGCAAGTGCGAAAATGCCTGAGTTAGAATGTATATATATCTTCCTCCGCGATTTTCAGAGGGTTCCACCATTTTTAAATGTGATTTCTGGAGCTTTGGGCAATTTTGAAGAGAGAATTCAAGGAGACTTCATTGAGATAAGGATTTTGGACCAAAAACCTGTCCCTATGGTATTATTTCACGGATTAAAGCTATAATTAATGGAAATTAAGAGTTATAATTGGGGGAAGCTAGGACTTGGAAACTTAGACCTTTGATTGACGATTTGAAGGACCATTTGAGGCCGGATTTCAGAACTTTGACATGTATGAACTCGTAGAGAGATAAGGAATCTATTGATATTATAATTATTGAATTTCGGGACGTGGGCCCGAGGGTCGGGTTTTGGTAATTTCGGGATTTGGATTGTAAATTGATTATTTTTGCTTGGGCTTCATTCCCTTAGCATATTTTGACGCCTCGATTCTGATTTTGTATAGATTCGACGCGAGTGGAGGTCAATTCGAGGGGCAAAGGCGTCGCGGGCTAGAATTTGGACCGGATTGAGGTGAGTAATGATTGTAAATGATGTCCTGAGGGTATGAAACCCCCGGATTGCACATCGTTGTGCTATATTGAGGTGATGCACACGCTAGATGACGAGCGTGGGGTCGTACACTGTTGAGGATTGTGTCTTAGTCCATCCCGAGTGATTGTTTTACCACGTATTTGACTGAAAACTATTTGCTATCATCAAGTTTTGGGCTGAATGCCATATTTGGGCCTCGTGCCAACTTTTTGAACCCTTAGAGATTTTTATTGATATTTCCTCACTGTTTGACTTTATACTTGAACTCAGTCATGCTATATTCTACTGTTTTCATAACTCGGCCATGTTTACTCTGTTTTAACACTTAAATGATATTTCAAATAATATTATACGCTGAGCATCATGTTTTAATGTTGCCTGAGTGGCTTGTGAAATTCTGACTGAGTAAGGCCGAGGGCCTATGTTGTGAGGAAATACTGATTATAATTATGAGGCCGAGAGACTGAGATTTGTATGCCACGAGGTGGCTTGTTGATATGAGGCCGAAGGCCTAGTGATGATGCCACGAGATGACTTGATATTGCGCTTGGGTCGTAAGGGGCCCCTCCAGGAGTCTGCACACCCCCAGTGAGCGCGAGTACCCATTGTGATGTGAGATATAGCCCGAGGGGCTGGTATTGTTGTCATTGTGCCCGAGGAGCAATTCTTTTTGTACTCATCTGCCTTATTTGTCTGTCATTTACCTGCTTAATTGTTAAAAAGCATTTCATAAAGTTTTAACTGAATTAAAAATGACTTTACACATTATCACTGCTTCATTGTTTCTACTAGTTTTACTGCTTCATTACAGCCTGTAATGTGCTTTACGTGTTTTTATATCTCTCAGTCTTTTATTTATGATTATTACTCACTGAGTTGGAGTACTCACTTTACTCCCTGCACCCCGTGTGCAGATTCAGGCGTTGCTGATCGTGCCAACGCGAGTTGAGAGCTTCCGGTAGACTTCGGAGTCCATGAGGTAGCTGTTTGGCATCCGCAGTCCCATGTTTCTTCCCCTTTATCTCATTTCTATCTCTTTATCAGTTATTCTGTAATAGTTTAGTAAGCATTTCAGACATGTAGTATACTGATAGATGCTCATGACTAGTGACACCCCGGTATCGGGCCGTGTTAGGTTGTATTTCGCAAATTGTTTGTATTGTCACTGCTTACTTTTGGATTTATATCATTTTTAAGACTAAATGCTTAATGCTTAATAGCTTAAAATGGAATTGGAAATGTGTCGGCTGGCCTTGTCTTCATGAGAGACGCCATCTCGACCAGGTCTGGGTTTGGGGTCGTAACAAGTTGGTATCAGAGCCTAAGTTACATAGGTCTCATGAGTTATGAGCAGGTTTAGTAAAGTCTCGCGGATCGGTACAGAGACGTCTGTATTTATCCTCGAGAGGCTGCAGAACCTTTAGGAAAACCTTCATATTCTTGAAATTCTTGTCGTGCGAATTTGTTGATCCGAGTACTAAACTTTTGTTATTCTATTCTCTTACAAATGGTAAGGACACGCGCTACCGGTCAGGATGGACCCGTGGCCACTAGAGGCCAAGGACGTGGTCGTGGTAGGGGTAGAGGTGTGGCCCGCAAAGCAGCTAGGGTAGCACCTGCAAACCCACCAACTGCCCCAGTTCAAGATCAGGTTCCAGTTGGGGACGCTCCAGCAGCACCAGCTCAGGCACTAACTGTGCCCATTGTGATTCCGGGTCTTCAGGAGGCCTTGGTTCAAATTCTATCAGTTTACACTGGTCTAGCTCAGGCGGTTTCAGTCACTACAGCCACAACTACTTCTCAAGACGGGGGGAGGCAATCAGACTCCCGCCGCTCGCACACCTGAGTAGGTCATGCAGGAACTTCAGACACCGGGGGCACATCCAGCCCAGCCGGTTGCAGCTGCTCATGACTATGTAGTTCCTGCCATGCTAGAGGATGAGCAACGTGGGATGGAGAGGTTTGGTAGACTTCAGCCTCCGACCTTTAGTGGTGCAGAGGGCGAGGATGCCCAGGGTTTCTTGGATAAATGTCAGAGGATGCTTCGTACAGTGGGTATTCTGGAGACCAACGGGGCCGCTTTCACTACTTATCAGTTTTCGGGAGCTGCCTTCACTTGGTGGGAGACTTTTGAGAGGCATAGGCCTGCTGGTACAGCACCCCTTACTTGGCAGCAGTTCTTCGTTCTCTTTCTGGAGATGTATGTGCTGCAGTCTCGCAGAGAGGAGCTGCGCAGGTAGTTTAAGTAGTTGCGTCAGGGAGAGATGACTATGACGTAGTATGAGATGAGGTTCTCCGAGTTAGCTCGTCATACTATTTGGTTGGTTTCGACAGATAGAGAGAGGATTAAGAGGTTTGTTGATGGCCTCACTTATCAGCTTCATATTCTCATGACCAGGGAGAGGGTGATTGGGCTACCTTTGAGGAGGTTTTAGACATTGCTCGAGAGAATGAGTCTGTTCATCGCCAGGAGCGAGAGGAGAGGGAGGCCAAGAGGCCTCGAGGATCTGGTAGTTATAGTGGTGCTCCTTCGAGAAGTCAGTTTCAGCACGACAGATGTCGTCCATTCAGGCATGCTCAGCCAACTTGCCCAAGTTATCATGGTGCGTCATCGGGTCATGGTTCTCACAGTTCTCATCAGGGCCAGTCATCACTTAGTTCCCTTCCAGCTCAGAGTTCATCCCGTTCTCCATTAGTTCAGGGCTCTTCTACGCCACGTGCATCTGCTAGTCACTCCGGTGCTAGGGGTTCCTTTCAGTCCCCTTTTCCAACACTTGAGAGT